AATTTAATAGCATTTTTTAGGCTTCCTAAACAGGCGCAAAGACTTTATGAAGCACAATTACAAATAAAGGGCACTGATATATCTAATAATCAAAATGAAAATAATAATTTTAATCCATTAAATGTTTTAAGTGAAACTAAGACACGTTGGAACTCAACGTACCTTGCTTGGAAACGGGTTTTAGAATTACACACAGCAATGAAATTAGTTTCTACAACATTACTTTCAAAAAAAGATCGTAGTTCTCAATTAGAGGGTGAAAAACTCGACAGATTATGTTTAACTATAGATGAAAAAAATTGTATTCAAAGCATAGTAAATTTATTAAGTCCTTTTGAAATAGTAACTCGTCATATATGTGGTGCAAAATATCCTACACTTAATTTAGTTCACCCATATATAGAAATACTTAAAAAAAAGTTTCAACCACGATCTGAAAAAAATGAAACGATTGATTCTTACTTAACCTTAATTTATGGCGAGTTAGAAGATTTACCTAATCAACCCAATATAGAAAAATTATCTGATACTGATGATTCAAGTTCTGTTAGTGAAGATGAAAATATATCATCAGCAGGTAAACGTCGACATTGGCAATTTGCTCACCGTCAATTTAAACGAAATATGTATAAAAAGCATAGTAAAGGCCGAAGTCAAAATCGAAAAAAAATCCAAAGTCATAATAAAGGTAAAGGTAAAAGTAATGTAAGTCAACGATCACAAAATAAATCAGTTGAGTCGAATGACATATATGAAATCGAATATTTACCGCCAACTGATACTTCAGGTCTTTTGGATAACGTTAGAGCTGCTATCTACTTGTCATTAGATGAATTGTGGTGTGTTCCAAATGATATAGCTTTAGTTGCATCAATCCTGGATCCTAGGATGAAAAGTTTACGATTTACTACAGATACTCAACGAACAAACACAAGAATTAAACTTCGTGAATTGTATAAAAATATAAAAGACAATTTACAATTACAAGATCAAAGCCAAGCATCTAATATAACTACTTTTAGTGAAAATGATACTTTAGGAGATGATGATTTTTTTGCTGAAGTTTTTAACTTAGGAGGATCAAATAATGATATAATAGAATTTGAAGAAGACGAAGTATCACAATATCTTAAATATCCTGAAGCTAAACCTCATGAAGATCCACTTATTTGGTGGAATAGTAGAAAAAGTATTTTTCCTTTATTGGCTTTATTAGCCCGAAAATATCTTTCAATCCCAGCTACATCCGTGCCAAGTGAACGATTATTCTCGGATGCTGGGAATCACATCTCATCTAAACGAACACGTCTATCTCCTGAACTAGTGAATCATATGTTATCTTTAAAAAAAAATAGTGCACATTACGGTATGTTTCCTCCAATGAATGCATAATATTTGTAGTAAAACTTCAAATAACATTTTCATATTAAATACAATTAGTTTATTTAATGATTACTTGCTGAAATTTTGAATTTATTGAATATTTTTTAATTATAACAAAATTTTAAAATTTATTCAGAAAACAATTATATTGTATATCTGTTGGTTCAATTATATTCTTTATTATATTAAATAAAGCAAAGATATATTTTTTATAAGTAATACGAATAGTAGTAGAGTATGGTTTAGTAAAGTAGTAGAGTATAATACGATTAGCAAACACGTGAGTATGGATGGTTAGGTCACATTGAGTGTAAAGTAATATATTATGCATAGCATGCAAATGTGGCATTAAAGAAACTAGACTTCAGGCTTCCTTTTTGTTATTTAACTCGAGAGTATATTTTTAGAACTTTACAACCTTTATTGCTTTGCTTTAATTATTTGTGTTGATTCAGT